GGGGGGCCTGGGCAGGAGAACAACACCGTTCTCTGAAGACGTTGGAATCAATTCCCTGCAGCGGTCAACATTCTGTTGCTCATGTATGTCGGCGCGAGTGCAACTGTGGAAAGGATAGCTGCGAGCTACCGCTAATTAAGGAGTCACCGCTCAGGTTCCTTGCTGCACACCAAATCATGCAACGAATATGCAATGAGAAAGAGAATTCTCTCCTTGGTGAGACAATTCTCCATACACAAGGTCCTTACTGAAATAAAGAAAAAGAAAAACCCCTCACCCTACTGTTTTGTGAATAAAAATTATTCTGTTTCAAGATCTACTTGAAAAGAAGAGAGAGACCCAACAGGAGAAGGACAAAAATCATGAGCTTTTAAAACTAATTTAGAGGGAGGAAATACTTGGTGAATTTTTCTATTTGCAAATCTAATGTAGCACATGGAAAGTACTCCAGTCTGCAGGAAGGAAGTATACGGCTGCCTTCTGGGTGGACAACTAATTGTCGCATTTCAAATCTCCACAGCCAATGGGAGTTGAAATTCATTAGCTGGGCTGAAACTTTTGTGTGTTTTTTTTTCTCTCCTGATCCTAGCAGGAATCATGGGAAAGCACTGGAAGCAGCTGTGGGGATGAATGCTGATTAACATGTTAAAACCGACAGTGACAAATGTGTTCGACTTCAACATTTTTGCCGGAATGATGGTCCCTGTGAGCGAGGCAGGAGCTCTGCTCTGGCACCAAATGAGTCACTTAATATTCTGAACAAGGAGTACCTGAGCAGAAGGATCGGCAACCGACGTGTGACGGGTGCCTGTTTTCACAGACCACTTGCCTCATAAAAAGTGCAAGGGAAGCCCCTTCAAAGAGAAGCAGGCGTGCTCCACGCTAGCAGCGCACGGGGTTTATGCCGGTCTGCCATGTCCTGGTATCTGAAGTACAGTCGGCAAAAACATCGCTGCAGGAGTATCAAAAGCTGCACTTCTTCCTGTCTGGATTTTGAAGATCAAAGAATTCTTGCGGCAAAACACAACTGATGTGGTCTCAAAGACTTCATTAACTCCAGATGTGGGGAAACAGCCTGCCAATTCCATAAAAAGAGCAAGCTTTCCTTTGTTACCGTCAGAACCACCACAAATTAGAACCAGGTCTCTGAAGTCATCTGATCACCTGCAGATGACGGTCAGGTTTTCTCCCTCCCTGGTTAATCACATTCTCTGTTGCTACAAACAAAAATTTAAAAGCACAAGGGGAGAAAAGGATTACCGAGATGGTGAGATTAAGCAGCCCCAGAGTAACCAGATCTGTGCTTAGCACTACAATTTGACAGAGGAGATTAAACGTGGGCAGACGCTCTGCACTCTAGCCAGCCAGCCAGCCAGCCGCTCTTTGAAAATGCAGAAGGCACCAACCAGGCCCAAAGCAGACTCCAACCTTGCTCACAGAGGCAAGATCCTTTCTTCTCTTTCTCAAAGACCAGCAACTCAGGCAACAAATGCACACACCCCGTGTGTCTCCCCCTAAGCGGCCAGGATACACCCCCTTCTTCACAGGGACGGGGTCAAAACGACCCTACAGCAGCTCCCTCCCTCCTTCCTCGCCACACCCTCCACCCCACGGAGGTGAACATGTCTGGTTCCAGGCAGCTATGTTAGGGCACGCCGCTTAGTGCTTTATAAATACTTCAGATAAATAAACAATTCTTTATTCAGTCACTTGGAAAAGAGCTGGCATTTATTTGCCAAGTAACCCAGGAGGAGAAGGCGGCTGGATACCCGATGGCAGGGAAGGACCACCTCCCCAGCTGTTTCTGCGAGCTGTTATGCAGACCTCGGAAGCAGGGACCTCCTTTCCTTTTCCTGTACAGCTATAAGGTGCCAAATATAATGCATTAAAAGTTTCATTTTTAAAAGTCCCATTTGGACCAAGGGTAGCATCTCCCTTGAATTCCTAGCTATCCTTGAGAGTGCCCTCGCATCTCTCTTATCTCCTGAGGCTTCCTTTTGAAAACATGACTGTGTGCCTCTCTCAGGATCCCACCCGCACCATTCCCACTCCATCTGGGAGCGGCACTGGCACAACGGCCATTGTCTTTGACACATTCTCGGGTTACAAACCCTTCTGTGGACCCGCATCACTGCTCTCTAGAACGATCCATCCAGCATCCTGTTAGGTGAAATTCATCCACAGGAGTGGACCGACCAGTCCGACTGGCAGACAAAGTTGCATCTGAATCGTGAGCCCGACTTCTTCTTGCAGATCGACTGCAAGCTGCTTATGCACCCACCCATTCTGGACCCGTGAGGGAAGATCAGCTGTCTGGAGAAGGTGAACTAGAATGGAACAGGAGCCACAATACAGCCTGCTTGCAGGTATTTTATTCAGCTGGACTGCAGCATCTCCTTACCACTATGTCTGTTCAGCTGGTGGCGCCATGTGGTGCCCTCTGCAACATGCCGCAATATAGCGCTCCCCATCCCCGATGATCAGTGACGGGCCGTGGCGGCTGCTATTTTGGGGGATCTTAGTCAAAATCACCTGGAGGATACCAGGTTGCCAATCTAAGTTTTGAATGTCTGACATCCTCAGCTTTCATTTTTTGAGAACTGTGGTTTCCCAACAGACACACCAGTTCGTGTCTGTTTAGACTTTGATCATATCAAAACATCTATCTTGTCTGCTATTTTTGACTCCTCCGAACCCCACACTGGGGGCAAATGGACCACAGTCACCTTTTGTTCCATAAAGCATCTCCCGGGAGACAGATTAGACAGCCGCTTAAGGCACTGAGAAATTAAGACGCAGAGTATGGAGCGAGGCCAAATAAAAAACCTTCCTCTTAGAAGATGTGGTGAATATGTGGGTAAGTAAGTGGTCCTTTCTCAATTCCGAACCCCATAGAAGATGTATTTGGACCTGCCATAGCTCTGGCAGTGGCAAAAGCAAAGAGAGGAAGCAGAAGAAGTGCAGAGAGGACTGGAGGGAAGCGGTGTTCAAAATGCTCTCGGGGGGGGGGCATGATTCACTCAGTGTCACAGCAAAGGCTGCTCCCTATGGCAGATTTCCTATGCAGAGGGAACAAGCCAATACGGACCACATAGGCAGCAATGCATCAAAACCACATGAGGCTGTTTTCGTACAGAAGCTCAACCCCCAAGCAGCGTTCTCACAAACAGAGAGATAATGTTTTGATATCTCCAAACTAAGATGTATACCTTTTTTGATTTTAAATCTTCAACTTGCAGTCCAACTTGAGACAAGCACCTGTTTCCATTGTGATGGGTGTCGCAAAGAAAGCATGTCATGCCCATAGCAAGCTCTGAGTGCACTGTTGAGTATATTTATGTGTACATGTAGGGAGGCAATCTCTCCTATGCAAAAGAGTGGAAGATTCAGATGGCATCCGCTGCCACCAGCTTTGGCCCATGTTCTAAAACAGGTCGAGTGTTGTACATGCACATGTGTTTGTACACTTCCCCATGCTGTGTCCAGTGGTTCAACAGCTTTAGGAATAGCCCCCTATGCAAGCAGAACATTCCGCACGTGGATGTTATGCACGTCAAGGCATAATAGGCAAGGTGGCTTGGCTTTAATCTCCACCCCACCCAACAACTACACAGTGTGAGAAGGAATTCAAGATGGGTCAAGGCCAATCTCCCTTTTGCAGTCTTTGTCATCCAAATTACATCAAGACTTATAAAATCAGGCACAAATGGCAATACCTAGAGATGCACTATACGGGAACTTGAATTCTAATGAGGAGGCATTTCAAACAGTCCCCCCCCCCTCCAGGTTTGGAAGAAGTCCAAGCCTGGGCACCATACAGGGGATAAACAAGATCTTACTCTAGTGCACACAAAGGGAAACAGGCTCTTGGTGGGCAGGAACCCTGCACAGGCTAGCATGCCATTCAAATGCCTGGGTTACTTCAAACTTGCTAAAGGATGCAAAGTGTTTGTAAACACATCGGCCAACCTACTACTGCAGCTTACACACTTTTAGGAGTCGTGCAAAAGGCTCTTAATCTCACCATTAATAAACACTTAGCAAAACCCATGGCTTTAGCATATATGGAAGGCCAGCTGTGGCCCTCCAGATGTTTTCTGACAGTCCCTCCCATAAATTTTCACTAGTGGCTGAGCTAGCTCAGGCTGATGGGGAAAGGTAGTCCAAAAACCACTTTTTTTCCTTATGAAAATTGTCTGACATTTTAAAGTAATTAATTTAGGTGGTTTATAAATGGAGGGTGGTGTGTAATTACTTAGCTCCACTGTTATTATCTTAAAATCATCCTGTTCTGTGACAGTCAAAACTGGAAAGGCAAAGGCGCTCAGTCTTTGCTTTAACAGGAAAGTTCAGCAGAGCAGAAGGCCCTTCTCAGAGCTCCACAAACAACATTAAAGCCTTCAGCTTGTCCACATTCTGTCACTTTAATAATACTGACTAGACTAGCCAGTGATAAATGCCAGTAAGAATTTACTCATTTTCCAGTTTGTATACATCAGAAAAATCTTCCAAGCTTGCAATGCAAATCTCTGAAAAACAAAATATAGCACTAAATTATTTGTAAAAAATTTTTTTCGAAAAAGAGCAAATTAATTCCTATACAAAAAAGAAATGTGAAAGACAGAGATATTGCATAGTTATTTCAACCCAGAAAACCACACTTCGATGTTTTCCTCCTGTCTGTTACTGTTGTCAGTTACCCAAGTTTTTTAACAAATTATTTTACTGTTTTTTAAAAATAAATTATTGTATTGTTTTATATTTGTTTATTATTTTCAGCATTTGGTTTTATTGTATCTTTTTTGAACGTAAATTGCTAAAAAGTAAACAGACATATTTAACTGAAAAGGTCCAGTACTAAAAAAAAAACAACAACTGAAAAATGGGTAAGCATGCCTTAAAACTGAACAAGAGAAAAAGAGAAAGATTCAGGAAAACTGAATCAAGAGTACCCAGATTGTAGAGGAAGAAATCTGGTGTGTTATACACACTCACTGCCCCTCCTCTGAAACTGCCAAGTGAGGTTCTGAGAGTGTAAGCGAGATGGGAGAGAGATTGGGGGTCGGCCCCTGGCGCTTTGCTCTTTGCGGAGATCCAGACCAAAGCTAGGGAAAAAAGGTGTCTACAGACCTGAGTCAAAAGAGACAGGGAGAGTGAACGAAGATGGCGATCAGTCTACCTTCCTCTCTCTCTCTCTCTCTCTCTCTGTGTGTGTGTCTAGCTGTCTGTCTGTCAACGGCTATGATGGCCCACTAAATAAGAGGCAGGATCATGCCTGTCCCTCTGCTCGAAAAAGGCACCAGGCCTCATGGCTGCAGGGCAGCCTCACCCAAAGGACGTGGGTGAAAAACGGCTCTGGAGAGTCTTGACGGTCCCAAACTGAGCCAGATATAAACTGCACTTAATGGAACAAAGAAACAAGAGCCTGTGACACTATTGCCCATCTTTATCCGTCACAGAAAGCTCATGCAGAATCATGAGAGATTCCTTAAGCGAGCATGGCAGAAAAAAAAGCTTTGGAGACAGAAACTCTTTAGCAGCAGCAGCAGACTAATTCTCCACCTTCCTCCCCAGTATGTCTCCTTCAAAATATACGAAGAGGCTGACCCACCACCTGCATCGTGTCTTAGAGAGAAATACACAAGGAGCTTGTACCCGTGGCCAACCCAGGACAAGGCTGCAATATGCACTGTTTGCCTATTGGTGTAAGGAAAAGTTTCCGAAGGGAATATTCAATTATTAGACATTATAATGGCCATATCATCAATTCTTGCATCTCTTTATACAGATTCCCTTTCCAAAGAATAAAGGGAATTTGTCAGGGGTTTGTAGAAACAATGAGATCAATCTGGTGTCATGAGTCCATTTTTTGAAATCAGCAAAAAGGACGTTTAAATATGCATTGCATCAAGTCCACCAAACAAAACACGTTTTTAACTGGACAGGTCAGTCCTTTGGAATTAATTCACTCTCACTTCAGGTATTTGGTGGGTGAAGGGGTAGGGAGAGAGAAAAGTTTCTCATGTGCAAGATGAAAAAACTGACAATGCCTCTGTGAATTACCCTAACAAAGCTTCTCAAGCAGTGATATACACAAATGCAGCTTTGTAATTCTGTGAACCCGCAGGAGAATAAAACTTCCAAGTAAGCAATGCCTCTATATCCTCTTCCCTGAATAAATGAGCGGCACAATCAGACTTGGGCCGCAGAGACAGAACTGAAATAGCCTGGGAAAATGTTCTCCCTCCACCCAAGGAGAGAAGACTATAAAGTTGATGCGAGCTAGGAGGCATGTCTACTTCTAAAGATTGCCAGTCATTAATATCAGCCTTGTCTTACAAATAAGTCTTAATTTTTATCTAGTGTGAGTCAAGGAGAAGAATGTGTGTTTTGTCACAGGCTGTGGTTTTGTATCATGGACTGGAGTTTGGGAGGTAAAGTCTGCAAGAAGAAGAAAACTCCCTGGGTGATTCTAGACTAGTCACGCCCTGTCCTGACATATTTTTCAAGGTTGATGTCAAGAAAAAGTCAGCAAAGGGAATGCTACTTGCACCATCTTGAATACTATGAAGGAAAGGTGGGATATAAAAGTACCAATGAATTAGCAAACAACTAGTACAGGATATACATTTGGATTATCGTCTCTCACCTTAACAAGCCAAGATCGAAACAAACTTTCTGCCTGGCCACCGAACTGCATCACTCTCTGCATTGTGTAAGACACAAATTTTAATTAACAGTTTCCTGTCACGTCTGAGAAGGGGAGCTATGGTGACCAGTGTCAGAACAAGCCAGGATCCTTAATGAACTTCAAACTGCGGTTTAAGAGCTTGGTTTGTTTTGAAGCTGGTAACCACATTTCCCCAATTCTAGCAAAAATATAGTTAATAGAGGCTCATTAGTTTAACTGCGGCTCACATGAAGACAGAAGCAAAAGGAGCGTGGATCCTTCCTACCTCCGTTTATAAAGCAAGATTGAGGCGAGCATGCTAGAAGATATTTACCTGCATTTTCCTTGGAACGTAGAGAAGAACCTTAAAACAGACCCACTACTGATAGAAGCTGAGACAAATACTTCTTGTAGGCAGGAGTTAGTACTTGGACAGCCATAACATTTACAAACAAGAGTATCTAAACAAAGAAAATAATGTTGCTTCCGTTTCTACTGTAGAGTTTCTATGAAGAATCATTTAAAAAAACAAATATATTACTAATGTTAAAGACTTTGAGAAATCTAGTCATCTACTGTTTTATGAACTGCTCAGTGGTTTAGATAATTGGCTGCGGAGTCGGAGGTTGGGAAATACGATCCCCCCTCCCTCTTCTGCCTCCCTGACAGGGGCTGGACTGGATGATCCACTGGGTCCCTTCCAGCTCGGCCGTTCTACGTAAGATGGTGATGATGCAATCTAAACATGCAGATAATTTTCACAGCCTGAATTTCATAATTCTAAAATCAGTATCTTAGAAAATTACTACAACTTAATCCAAAGTGTATTTTACATTAACTCAAGGAAGAAGACAAGAATAATGTTATTTGTTTTAAGAGAGGGTGCCTCTTTTTTTATGAACCTTTTGCCTTCATAATGTGAAGCCCTTCGGGTCAACGAAACCATGAGAAAAGCAGCAAATCAAGACACCATCCTTGGTGGAAAAGACACCCACACCCACTGAGTAACAAAGCTCTTAGTTTACAGTTAATAATATTAAGTATTAAAATAGTCTCTATCCAAGTCTGTAGTGGGTGGCTTCCCATAACTGAACAGCAAGCCCACCTTAAAACACAAATAATCACCACCAAGGACAAGATTTCAGCCTATCCTTTTTTATTTTTTGCAGAAGGATGTTCCTTCCCCCCCCCCGCCCCCATTTTTTGAATACGAGGATTCAAATACATCTCCTTCATTGCAGCTTGAAAGATCGATCGCCACTCGACTCTGCAGCCACGCAAAGCTCAGATTCTGCCCAGCACAGCCATTCATCCCACAGGCTCAAACCCGGGGCTGGCAAGGTGTGTGTGTGTGCGCGCGCGCCAAGACGCAGCTCCTGCTCTAAAAGCCTTTCCTTATTTACTGCCGTGTTAAAGCCACCTCCTCGTCATAGTAATATGTTTGGTCTCGCTTCCTCCCAAACCTGGTGACCTGACAGGGGGTTTGACAGGGATATAGTACTCAACGTGGATGCAGGGGCTCTCCCCCCCCCACACCTCTGGCGTGGCTCTCTTGGTGCTGCTGAAGTTTTCCTCCAATCTTTAAATTCACAGAGGGAAAGGCTAAACAATCACCCTGCTTGCTTAATTGTTTCCACTTTGAAATACTTTCCTGGGAGGAAGGGTTTCCGCTTTTAAAAGCAAGGAAGACAAACAACATGCCGAATCCATCAGCAAATTCATCAGCGACTCATTCTGGCTGAGCTTTTTCAGCAAGAATTCAGCCATTTAACAATGGCCTTATGGACCGAGCCTGGGGCAAATTATAACAGGGGTGGAGCCCATTTTAAGATCTGTTCCTTAAGAAGAACCATGATCTATGTTTTTAACATCACAAAAATGGAATTTGTAGGAAAATTCTTTCTGGGGAAAAAATGCTTCCAAGGCAATTCTCAGGGAAAAAAGGATCATATTTATTTTCTCACATTTCGATTCCAGCACAAGATTAATACTTGTTACAAGTAAAAAAAAAATAAAAAATACAAAGCTTTAATACTCTAAATGGGGGAGGACTCTACATTTTTAATTCTCACCTCCTGCAAAATGAAGAAACATACACTTAATTTGTTCCGATTAACAAAATACAACAACTATTCTCTTTTCACAGAAGCTTATTGAAGAAATGCGCCTTTTATCTTGGTCAGAGATGAAGAATCCCTTTCCGTTCTAATTTTCCACTGCCTCTTATTAGTTAATTTGCAGACCGCTTGTCTGCCTTTGAAGATGGAAGGACCCAAGTCAAAGAAAGTTGAAAGTCGAAGGATATGTTGTGTGTGTGTGTGTGGGGGGGTCCCCAAAGCTCTCTGTGTCACATTCCAGATGAATATGCTGACATTCAGCAATAAACTAAGTCTCTACTCCCAGTTCTGAAACCCCCAAAGCTCTCTGTGTCACTTTCCAGATGGATATGCTGACATTCAGCAAAAAACTAAGTCTCTACTCCCAGTTCTGAAACAGGAAGCCAGACCTCCATAAGTATAAACTGATCTAACGGTCCAAACAAAGTAGGTGGATGGAACTTTTCTAAGGACCAAGCGAAGCCTAAGCTCTGACAAAGAAGGGGCAACCAGGATATGAAATTACCATACTGTTTCCCAACTCTTCCAGTTCATGAACGGCACCCCTAAATCAAACCAAACAGATGTTAGAAATTCTCTACAGTACCAGCACTCCTCCCTAAGAGAAGCCTGGAAATACTTAATAAGATCAAAGCTTTTCCCTTTACTGTAGAACAAAGAGGAACATTCTCTATCGGCAAAAGAATAAAATCAATACTCCACAAAGGCCAGACTACCATGCAAAAAGCCAACTTTGTTTTAACTTCAGTCTCACAAACAAACAACTTGGCATAAGCTTCAGATTCGCTTCAGCTCAGAAGACACAAAGAGAAATCATTTCACATTTGGAGGATCTCAGTATGCCAAAAATAACCAATTTCTTAAAAGTTGCCACTCTCAGGCATGTTGCTTAATCCATATGAGGGTAAGTATTCAATCCTGGTGCTACGCAAGACTGACCCTAAGCAATCAACCAATAAAGTACAGTAAACTAAAAGACAAAAATGTCGTAAAATATTTGAAGTTGGCCATACAACTCCTGCTTACAAGGTTACTGAGCTGCTAGCTAAGTATCTACATCAATGAGCATAAGGCAATACTTTGAGAGTACTTTGGGTTGCCTGGATATTCACTGCAATCTTTTACTCTTGCTGAGATTCTTTGCCAACATGCAAAATTAAGAAACCCCTAAAAGAGACGAGAGCTGAAGCGTTTCACCTACTGAGTAACAGACACGTGCTATATGGCACACCGTGTAATTAAATTTGGTTTCTACAAGGATCAACACAGGTTTCAATAACATTCTATCCAGAAAACAAGGTTATGGATTGATTTAAATATACAACTGTAATGATCAAAGACACCCTTGCATTAGAACTTTGTTCTGAATAGAAATATAAAACCACATGCATAAAGATAATCCCGATTTTTAATTGAGATGGAATAAATACAAAATGCCCACCTCCCCATTCTCTAATAGATGGTAATGAAAACAACTCTTTGAAAATCAAATTCTGAATAATATACACAAACCAGGTCAAACATCTGACAGTCATGCACTTTTTAAAAAAAGCAAATAATGTTCCCCCTTGGTGAAAAAAAGAATACCTCTCCTACATGTATTGAACTGGAAGGAGGAGAAGTGAATGAAGTGAATGCATAAAATAAAAATAGCTCACATTAAATATTATATATGAAAATAAGTGCATTATATAACTAAAGAATTTCAGCTCAAGTATGCTAGCCTGGACTAGTATATCTAACCCGAATGCCAGCAGAAAGACGGTTAACAACACTGTGAGCTCACGCTAGAGACTTTGGGAAGTGCCGGAACAAAAGGCAAGCCCCTTACCGTCTTCCCATTGTAGTAATACATCAAAGCGGTGCTGCTCATTCCAGGTACCGGGTAGGCGCAATACATGTTCTAAGAAGGACAACACCGTCTGCAGCCAAGGCGTAGCGCTTTTCTCCGAGACATCAATTCACTCAATGCCACACAATTCTTCGGACTGAGGCAAGTGCACATGGATGTGCTCTGAACGAATTTATGCGAAACAGGACTGAACCATCTTATACCGGAAAATGGGGAGGATATATGCTGCTGCAAAATCTTCTTTCAGCTTCAGTCCAGGGAGGCTTTTCGTTAGGATTGCTATTAACCACGCAGGAATTTACTCGTCACTCAAGAGAACTCTAATCCGCAGCTACAGTCCAATCAAACAGCCGTTTATTTTAGACCTACAAAGTCTGCAAAGGACTGCATGGCAAATCCTTAGCTAGTTAATCCTTTTGTTTTAATTAACGAAGAGCACTTGTGGCAGTAGAGCTCTAACTTCCGTGCACCTCCAGTCATGCTTCCATCTGGCTCTCTCTGAAGCCGCTTCCAACTTTCACAAATACACCACCCGCGGGCTGGAAATGCTGAATCACGGAGGAGGAGGAGGAGGAGGAGGAGGACCTAGCCAGCTAATTGTTTCCCCGGACCAAAAAGCAACAAGCCCAGAGTCATTAGGCGTTTGCTGGAGACCAAGCTCTTTTAAACATAACGTGGCAAGACCCGTGGCTCCTTTCAAACAACTGGCCAAGAAATGCTGCGCTCAGTACGCAGCGCTGCAGAAATTTCTTTTAACAATAAAGGACATATTTTAAGATAAGAACGTATCCTACAATTTGTGCTGACAGTGAAAATCATGAAATCTAGACAAGCAGGTGCTTATGTCTTTTAATTTCTTTTCTATTTCTGCTCTAATGTAATGTTTTCATGAGCACAAGACTAAAGAACTATTTGCAGGTCAACTAGTTGCAACAGATTACATGTCTATATATTTTAGAACAAGAATTATCCACAGCAGGTTAAGAATGCTTCAGTAAACAACAAGAGGAAAACTATGTATAATAAGGATTGTTATGTTAAATTAGAATCGCCAAGGACAAGACAAG